CGTGGATTTGTTTCCCCAAAGTACCTAGACTAATACAGAAGGCCATCGAGGAAATGGACTGACACAGTGGCTGCAACCAGAGGCTCAAGCTTACCACTGTGGGGATGGTGCAGGACCAAGAAACGTTTCCTCCTGTTCTGCACACGGTCACTGTGGGTGGAACAAGTTCAGCGGTACCTAACAACACACATCCTCTGTCTTTTGGACTGAGGCTTTTGTTTTGCTATTGTTGTTGGGGTTTTATGTATGATTTTCTTTATATGAAACCTAGGACAGGCAAGTCTACAGAGACAACAACTAGATTTCACTGGGCAGAAGAAACCGTTGGGTTTTTTTAATGTCAAACTACAAGAATCGATGAATGAATGACATTTCATCTTTCATTACTTTATTTCACAACTTGACACTTCAGAATCCAAAAGTACTTCCCTGTTCCAGAGCTCAGAGGATGTCTGCTCAGGAACGGAGTTAACACAGAGGCCAGGAAGTAATGGTGCCAGCCTGGACACTGCAGTGTCAGAGCCTAACCAGCCTGGCCTTCCACCATAGACAAGCATGTTTCTTAGTAATTATTGAAAATAGATTAAAAAATTATAACAGTGACAGAAAGGCTGTGAGCAATATGACAAGGCATCCTTTCAAATGTAAGCACCCCAGGCATCAAACATGTGGCCACCTCATTAATCCTTGTCATCAATAACTCCATAATCTAATTATAATGGTTGAATAAAACTTCCTTTCTACAACATTCTGGCCACTTCATGTTTTCTGAATGTAAATCTCTTCAGGTGGGAGGGACATTTCATCAGAAAACCTAATAGTGGTATCCGGCCGTGCCTGTGTCCCAACATGTTCATCTCCCATCTGCCCAAAGCTGTGGCATCACAGCTGGGGACAGATCAACCCACAATTATCCAGGAAAGCATTCCTAGAAGGCTCTGCAATCAAGGCCAAGTCCACAGCATTCCAGGAAAGGATACTGTCCTAAAATCGGCAGGAAGGCTAAAAGAAATTGAACCTAAATTCTTCATCAGGGATATCCAGGATGGCCTTGGTTCCCCCTGCTGGACGAGGCTTACAGACTCTTCGGCTCTTCCTTCTGGTAGCCTCACCTACAGGCTGCACTTGTGCTGAGTGGGCTGCTGTGGTGGAAGGGAGCACAATATCAGAACAGCACACCTTAAATGTGTATTTCCTATAGAATCATATCATTACTGGTCTTTGGTACAAATTATTTCTCAAATAATGCGGCAGGTATCATTTCTCCATTTTAGAATCAAGCAACTGAGGTACAAAGAGGTTAACTTGCCAAAGATGTTGAAGTTGTTCCAGGGATCGAACCCAGGTCAGCAGGCTCTAGAGCTGCACAATACCTGCTTGACCACTGGCTTCAGGGCCAGCATGGATGGTAAGGCAGCTTTCCCCCATCCTCTTGGAATCCACTGGTTTTTCTGATTGTTGTTTGCAGCAATACAAGAATCCTGCACCCACCCCAAGAATTCCCGGGGCAATCTCTGGGCTGCTCCCTTACCTCCTCATCAAAAACACACAAAACCACAAACTCAATGCCAACGAGTCCATTCTGACTCACAGCTACCCCGCAGGACAGGGTAGAACTACCCCTGTGAGTTTACAAGACTAAATCTTTACAGGAGTAGAAAGCTTCATCTTTCTCCTGTGATGCAGCTGTTGATTTCAAACTGCTTACCTCCTTATACAAGGTGGGTTTTTGTTGTTTTTAAAGTTCACAGAAAAATTACATTATATTCTAATTCTGTTTTTCCACACACTTTGTAAGTCCTCCTCATACTAAATCAAAACAAAACCTTTAATGCTATTGAATCAATTGACTCACAGCCCCCTAAAGAGCAGATTTGAACTGCCCTTTGGGGGTACTGAGGCTGTAATTCTTCCCGGAAGCAGAAAGCCTCAACTTTTTCCTGATGGTAAGTTCAAACTGCACACCTTGCAGTTACTGGCCCAGGGCTCCTTAACCAACCAATTCCCAGCCCCTCACCAGCCCTGAGGGCCCGCAGGGCCTCCTGTCGCTCAGCTTCCATCTGTGCCCGGTAGTCCCCAAACAAGCTGTGCATGAGCTGCCTCTTCCGTGGCAAGGGGGTCTTTTCACTGCGCAGGGCACGAACTGCCCCAGTGGCTCTCTCTTCTGTGGAGAGAGATAAAGAGTACAAGTGACCGTCCTGTCTTCCCCTTCAACTCCACCCCATTAAACACCTGAAAACAAGGTAACTGTGCCCCGCACGCCCCACCCACCCAACGCACGTCCCCCAACTGTAAAGAAGGGTCTCTCACTCTGTTTGGGGCTGGGTTTCTGAGTCCTGAGTCCCAGCTCCAGCTGCTCTATGCACCAAGCCAGTTCGCGGACCAGCTGCTCGGCCTGAGGGATTCGGGGTGTGGCTGTGACAGCGCTCGGGGGCTCCGTGGTCACCCAGGCCACACGCAGCGGACCCCAGACCAAGTCCACCGGCAACACCCCGGGACCCCACCCCTCCCGACGGAGGACTGCTCTTGCCTGAGCCTCGGCGCTTGCCGGGGCTTCTTCTGGGGCCTTCCCGCCTCCATTGGCCAAACAGGCCCCATTCCGGAGTTTCTTCTTCTTTTGCTTCTTACAGGCTGCAAGGCTTTGGGGCTGCGCAGGATGAGCGCTGGAGGCCGAGTCGCTGCACGTGGGGCCCTCGGGACCCGGGCTGACTGGGCGGAGCGTTCCACAGGCCGGGCTCCGTGCGCCGGGAAGCGGCCCCAGGAGCCGGGGTCTGTGGGGCGCGCGGGGGGATCCTGGGCCCGCCGAGGTTTCCCAAGCAGGGCGTTCCGG